CTTTATCATTCCACACTTTGAACCAATCTGTAGCAATGTGAACTACATACATAGGCTAGAAATAGAAAACTGGGTATGCAAAGAAATGTTTTTTCCAGATTTATCTGGAATTAGCCTAAATAAATAAGACATCAGTACCTTTAAAAAAAAAAAACCATTAATTTGTCTACTGATTGAAGTTAATTTCATAAAACACATTTAATCCTCCCTATGCATATCATATATTTCTGAAAATCATATTAAAACCAGTATTTTTAGACCACTTATAAAAGTACACTATTTTTTGTTTCAACTCCACCTTAATCATCACACACAATTTCCTTTTCTTATTGGTGCACGCATGTACCTTCTACGTCTAAAAGGCCTATTTTCAAGTGCAAACGAGAGCAGGGCATAGTTCTCTGTTGAACTGCTTTGCTGATCAGTACATCATAAACTAAGCTTATAGGTTCAATACTCTTCTGGATCATTTAACTTTGAAACAAACTGGACTCTTAACCATTCATCTCAAAACTGTGAGAAGGGGACTGTAAAGAGTGTGTGAATCATTCAGTGTCCATAATCACTATTACAAAAATTCATAACCTGAATGGGACAGTACATGTACATGTACATGAAAGATTGAAAAGTACATAAAAACTACCACTTGTAATCCCCAAATTTCACGAACAGAAAAAGGGGGTGGGGGGAAGTGAATGCTTCATCTCAGTAACATAAGAAAGCTTAAACATATTTATGTTTAACACTAATCACTTCCAAAAGATGTGAATTTGGCATTAAGTCATGCAGCAATATATGACATCAGAATGAACAGAAAATACTTGGAAATACGCCATAACTCTTTTTAAAATTAATGAGTTTAATCTGAAAAGGAACATCAGGAGGAAGTAAGATGATGTTCACAATTTTAAATTCACCACAAAATTAATATATAAATGCTTTATACAAATTTTTTGACTGAACTAAAATAAGAGAATTTTAGAACTGGAAACTTAGAGGTTATTTGAGGTTCAATGAACATCAGCTGGATCCCTAGCATGTGTCAGCCACAGTGCTAGGTGTTTGCAGGTAACTCAATTATTCAACTCACTCACTTTAGAGATGGTGGAGTTCCCTGCTCATGCCAAATCAAGCCATCTAGATTTCAGAACTAGAAATGCTGAGCAATGCCCTCACAGTGGTATAATTCCTATCAAAACAGACTGGTATCGTTCTCCCTTATAAACTAAATAAAATGTCAAAGATGCAAAGCTAACCTTATTTAACAAAACAATAGTCCCTGTGTTTTGAATAACTATAAAGAATTACAACAATCTAAAAATTCAACTAAGTACTAGCTGCATAATTTATTGCAAAGAACAAAACACGGGGCTGTCAGTTTTAAGATTCTAAAGACATAAAACAGAAATTAAATAAATTGCAGGTATCATTTAAAAATCCCTTTGTAAAAAAAGAAAAGAAATTATCAACATGAAAAATTAGATGCTTGATTAGAATGTCTATTTTATATAAAAGATCATCAGCCATATAATAACAAAGTTCATGGATGGTAGTAAACTTGGGCAAGACTTTTAAGTTATTTAACTATTAGATTCTGACAGAATGTAAAACTTCCTGAGGACAAAGACCCTGTCTAATTCATCTCTGTATACCCAACAATTAGCACTCTGTTGTTAAATGCTGGAGAGGTGAACTAACATACGAACTCTAAATTCAAGCTACTGGAAAATTCAACCTAACAATCTAGAAGATTTTTCTTTTATAACCAAAATGATTTCTTCAAGTATTAAATAATACTCAAGGCAAGTGACATTGCCATAACACTAGATCAACAACTGTGGCTATCACTTTAACTAGTACAACATACTATTTGAAGGAATTCACAGATACATCAAGAAGACAAGTAAATTCATATACTTTGATTCAGCAGTCCTTACTCTGGAAATCAATCCCAAGAAAATATTCCAAAAGAAAGAAAATGTTGCATATACAGAAGTGTTCATCTTAATTTTAATAAGGGGAAACCGAAACTACCTATATGCCCAACAACAGGTAGATGGACTATTTTGCAACCTCCGAAAAAGGCTTAAAATAAAGATTAGCCTCCTAATTGGTCTTCCTGCCTACACTCTTGCCCACCTCAACTCCCCACCAAGTTGATTTCCACATAGCAGCCAGAAGGATTTTCACAAATTCTTCTACTTAAAACCTTCCAATAGTTGATTGCTCATCTCATTCAAAGTAAAATTCCAAGTTCTTACCATGACCTACAAGGCTCAGTTACTTCTCTAACCTAAAGCTCTCTCACTCACTCTTGCTTACTGTCTTCTCAAAAGGCCAAGTACACCGAGGGGATCTTTGCACTTGCAGTCCTCTCTGCCTATAACCTTCCCCAAGAGAGCACACCTAACTCACTTCCTTCAGGTCTCTGCTCCAGTCTCATGACTTCCCTGCCACTGCTTCTCTCTTTCCCCTCACCCTACTTTATCATCTAACATATTCTACATTTATTTGGTTATGGCCCATCTCTCCTGATTACAATATAAGCTCTATGACAACAAGAACTTGATTTTATTCACAGAATATGCATTCAAAAAGCATTTGTTGAATTAATATTAAATGTTGATACAATAATTATTAACTACATGAAAAATCATGCATATAAACAAGCTCGGAAGAGAACAGGAAAAATGAATAGTTTGATTTGTGAACATTTTCAAGTGTTGATCATATAACTAAGTAGTACAATAGAAATTATAAGTCAGTTGTGATTATGATTTTAGGCTGCCAAAAGTGACTACAACAATCTTACTTCCTTGGAAGCCATTAATGTATTAGCTTAAAACTGGTAGTAGTTATTAGTGACACCTTTTCCTCATAAAATTGTAATAACAATTATTCTTAAATCTTGTTCCTAAAGACCCAAAATTTAGCCTGTAAGTATCGGCACGGTCATTCCTGAGGCTACATAGAAAGTGAACAAAGGCTTTTAAACAGTTTTAATATGGAACTGAATAATAGGGATTCCAGTTTGTTTTTGAGACAGGTATCTATGCTTGGCTTCAGAGCGACCCTGAAACTGAATGCAAAACTTTGTGCATAAAAGTCTATTACTTTTTTTTTTTTTTCCTGGGGAGAGAGACTATATATTTCATCATAATCTCAAAGGTGTCAGTGGCCTAGAAAAGGTTAAGAATTACTATTTTATACTGGAAGTGCAATATTCTAATATAAGCCACCTCTCAAAAGGACGGAAGATATATAATATCTAGCCACTTCTTTGTAATCATTCAATTCATCCACAAAATACCGAGTGCCCACCTTGTGCCAGGCACCCTGTGATCCTCAATATCCTACACCTAATCATATTTTGCAGTACATAATTGAAAATACCAAGGAAACAAAGTTCAGTAAAACACCAGACTAAAAAATAATTTCAACCAATGCAAAAATAATTTCAACTAATGCAAAAATAATTTCAACCAGTCAAATATAACTTCAAAACAGAAAGTGTTGTAAGAAATCATAATAAAGACAGAAAAGAGCTCAGGGCCTGATTTAGTGTCTATTATGTCAAAATACTGCAGATATCAATTACATCAAAAGGAAAGAAAAACTACACACACACACACACACACACACACACACACGCATGCCCGCCTCCACACACTGACAGGAAACCATAAGAAAGTTTCCAAATCCTGTTTCCAGCAGCATCCCTTCTGAGACTGCCCTGCAGCATGCTTTTGAAGGTAGGCGCCCCACGTTAAAACTAAGAGCTGCTACTTTACTCTTACTGTGATAAAAACAGAAAGAATCATCATCCCACACCCAGGAAGCAGAAAACTGTGGCCACCTGTAAGGCTGTGGCCCATTAACCTCCTGCCCTGTTATTCCCTTTTTTCTTATACCCTCCTCCCTTCAAAGCAATGGCAAAACCATCTTCCCTCCCAAAAAGGAATAACATAACTCAACGTTAGTTCTTTTTCCCAAGAGGTCAAAAGGTCCCCCAAACTCTTGGTGCTTAGCCCTGAGAGAAGATTCCATTTTTCAGGCACAAGTGTCTTCCCCTCACCTTCTCCCTGTAGCAGTAAATTACACAATTCAGCTGAAGACACTGTCCTTAACTTCCTGAGGGGACAAGCGACACTCCTACCAGCCCCAGTCTGAAGGAAGCCAAGAATCACACGGTGACCCCTTCCCTAAGAAAATTCAGGGAAGAAGCACAGACCCAAGAAGAGCAACGCCGAAAAGGCGTACACATGGCAAGCTACGGAAGACGTGGGTGAAAGAGGGCGGGAAAGGGGCTGGGAGGTGGAGTGGGATGCAGAGATGTCAGCCCTCTGCACTGAGGGGATAAAGGAAGGAAAGGGAGACCCTGACCCTGACAGAAGTGAACGCAGAGAGGGCAACGCTCCCGTCTACCTGCACCTTCTCCAGCGAGGGAGGAGGGCAGAAAATTCACCCAACCCTCCAACTCCCTCTTCGCGTGACCCCCAAGGGGAGAGCTGGGTTTGAGGGAAGGTCTGACCCTAGTCTGGGGACATGCAATAAGAGAAAAAAGGCAGCGATGTCTAACCCTCTGTATCTCTCGGGCACTGAGTGGCGAGGGCACTGTGTCCGAGGAGATGGCGAGGGAAATGGGCTTGTGCCATGACACCTCGAGCAGTTGGAGGGTGGGGGACACAATGTCCTCTTTCTCTCCCACACCCGGCCCGGGCCCCTCCCGTCCGTCTCCCGCAGGCCCAGCCACAGTCGACCGGCTCGGTCCGCGGGCGTGGTTGGCTCTGGCCCTGGCGGCGGCGGCAGGGCCTCCCGGAGCCCCGGCCCCTCCCTCCGGCCAGGCCCCCGGGCCGCCGCCCCGGACACCGAGGGAACGCGGAGGAGGAAGGGGGAGCCAGGGGACTGACCGGCGACATGAGCCGCCTCAGCCCTGGCTCGGCCGACCCGCGCCCCCGGCTCCCTCTGGGGCCGACTCGGGCTCCCCGCCCCTCACTCACCCCCCCGGTCCGGCGCCTCCTCCACCTCCTCCTCCACCTCCTCCCTTTTCTCGGCCGTGGCTCCTGCTCCGGCTCTGCGCGGCGACGGCGGCGGCGGCGGCGGCGGCCTCGGCAGCGGCGGCAGCGGCGGCGCCTCCAGAACGCGCACGCACGCAGCACGCAGGCCCCGCCCCCAGCTCCGCCCCGCCCCTCCGAGTCGGCGTCAGCAAGGCTTCGGTCCCACCTTCCCCGCCGCTTTCCGGAGTCCGCTTAAAGGAGCCGCGCAGAAGAGGGTGGTGGGAACTGAGAACCGTGTAGGAGGAGCGGGGTATTGGGGCCTTGCGGAGGGCTGGGTGGGAGGCTGCGTAAGGCGGGAAACGAAATGAGGAAGGGTCCGAAGATTCAGGAGGAATAGAATTTTGGAGGGAATGCAATCGTTCAACAAGTACTAATTGAGCACCTAGTAAGTGCCAGGCACTGTTCTAGGCGC